GAAACGCTGGCCGCCGTGGGGGGTGGTGAAGGGGCAGTGAGGAGGGCCCGGACCGAGCAGAGCCGGACGGGCTGCAGGCGTGACCGGCCGGGAGGGCTTCCCTCGGGCACCTGGAGAGACGGGAGCTGCTGGATTCCCGCCCGGAGAACCTGATCACTGGTCCTAGGGAATCTCACTGCCGAGAGCGCCGGGCGGCACCCCTCAACTCCCCGCGCGCTGCCTCCTGAGGCCAGCCCCGAGGTCACCCTGGGGCCTGGGCTCTTTGATCAGGGGTCAGCTTTCGAAAGCTTCACCCACATCAAGTCAAACATATTCAAACATATTCAAACCACGGCCTGTATCAAATGTACTCTGACTGTGAACAAATATTTTCATTTGTTATTACCCTTTTTTTATTATTTTGCAGGTTCTCTTTTGTACTTTCAGTCAATTCATTTTTTTTTTTTTTCCCTTTTGATAGGCCGTCAAATTCTCAAAGGTCTAGGCCGGGGGAATATACCCTAGTGCTGGGTGGATAAACCGGTCTTTCTGAAAAGAAGAGCTCATTCATTCTGAACAGCATTTAGTAATTTTCCCCTACACTAGAAAGAAACAGTACATGATTTTGCTTTACAAAAAATAACAAAATAAAAATTTATCCAAAAAGTGAGTCTTTCCAGTCCGCATGACTTCATGGTACAGGGGGATTTCTGACAAAGCATTGCCTGGTGAAACCAGACAATTCCATGTCGCTGTAAGACATAAATTAAGATGTGTTCTTCTAAAGAGTTTTCTTAGCCAGTCATGGGAGGTGACAGGCGAGCTCATTTCCTGGTCTGCGGAGGGGACGCAGCAGGGCGGTGGTTTGAGTGAATCACACGTGTTTCCTGTCTTTCCCAGCCTCCATCGTGATTGGGAAGTGGTGGTGTGAGATGGAGCCTTGCCTTGAGGGGGAAGAGTGCAAGACCCTCCCCGACAATTCTGGATGGATGTGCGCTACCGGCAATAAAATTAAGACCACAAGAGTAAGTTCATTTATTCCACGTGTCTCGTGCATGTCACTAACTACTGTTTTCCTTTGTGTTGTGCAAACATCACCCAGAGAACCTTCAGCAGGAAAGAAAAAGCTTTTTCCCCATCAGAGACCAGCCTTAGCCATTCTGATCAGTGTCCATCCACCAACAAGAAGCCAGAGACTGAACTTTTAACTTTCCTATATTGAGCAGCTCAGTGTTTCTGATCCTGGCCCACGAATAAAGTTGGGTTGCAGTGAGGCAGTTATTTGGATAATTCACCCAACGTCTTGGTGCTCAGAATAAATAATGTTTAATTTGAGGATATTTAATTTGTCCACATGGTTTGTTGAAAATGTCTGCATTTAAGTACAGATTCTTTAAAGGAATTCTTTGATGGTATTATAGGGAAATGAAAGGGTTTTGTGATGTGAATAATCATTTCTTGATTTCTCTGGCTAAAGCAGAAGCTGCCTTCAAAATATATAACGACCTGTATTGTGGGGCTGCCCAGCCCAGCAGAATTGGTGTCATGATGCTGGAGCGGAATGAGAAGGCCCCGCTGGGCAGCCGTCGACCTGCTCTGTCCTGGGGGCCCTAGAGGGCTCAGGGTAGGGTGAAGTGCTCGGGACACTTAGGCAGCATCTGTTCACTTACTAGTACAATAGTGTGTTCCTCTTTGAATAACCCGTGTGGTCATATAGATTTGTACCATGTGAATATCAGCCTTGTTAGATGCATATATATTTTGTGTATTGGATGTTTTTTAAAGAAAGTTCCAGCAATTATAAATCCCAATATGTTGACCTTGTAACCTTCCAAAAGGGTGACTCCAATTTTTAAAATCATATCTGATTCCAAAGGATGAGCCTTAACCTGATCTTTCTTCTCAGCATTATCTTTTCAAAAAATAAATTGGTTCTTGTACCTTTGTGATACAGGAAACAAAAGTAATGCTACATGAGACCATATTAAACACTTATGTTTTTCATATATGAAATAGGTGGAGATATTGTGCATGTTCAAATTTAGTTGCCTGTATTGATCACATTGGCTAATAAATGGCCATACCTCCCTGGCTTGCAGCCAGGAGAGATTTCTGAACCATCCTAGCTTGTTAACATTTTTGAGCTCCCAAAAAGTCCAGTTTAGATTACTGTATTTCATTTTAATGAAAGGCCTACCCAAGAAACACCTGCAGAAATAAATCTGGTTCATGTAAATTATTTGCAGAAACCATTTTAATTACCTAGTGGAGTGTAGGTTTCAGGGTTTCCTTTGGTTACATTTTGCCTGAAAATGATTTTATCAAATAGTTTTAAGATACTCTGAATTATGGCCAGTGTAATTCCAGAATTATGACTGGAATCTGATCACCATTATTTTAAACATGTTGCTGATACACAGGGGTGGGAAAAAGTAGGTTTACAGTTGTGAGTACACAAAACACAGAGTTTATTCTTGTATTATTACTTATTAATTATTGTATTAATTATTTTTATTACAAATGTAAGCCTACTTTTGCCCACCCTGTATTTTCTGCCATATCTCTATTCCCTATTCCAAATGATAACAGATCACCGAAGGTAAGCCTGGCTCTCATGATGCCTCGGGACTTGTAACTCAGTAAAAAGCAATAATGCAACCAAGTTATTCCAGAAGTTAACTACGTGAAATTCCAAGAGTACCAAGTAGGAGACGCTCTGGAAGCTAGAACATAAACCACAAACAACACACAGAAATTGTTGATGCCGCCTCCTAGTGCCCTCTGTGGCTTCCTCTCAGTCAGCCTCTGCAGAGTACGTTTTAAAAGCATCGCGCATGTTGTAAACACGTCGCAGACTCTTCCCGGCATCGCGGGAGTGCGGTGCGGAATCTGGTCGTGGGAACAGAGGCTGGAGCCCCGCGTCTGCTACCGCCCCAGGCGGGCTCCGCGCAACCCGGAGAGCTGAGTGCAGGAGAGAAAGGGCCGCCCTTGCCTCGCCGAGGGTGTGAAAGCAGAGACGCAGCTGCTCTGACCTGAACCCACGTCCAGTGAGGAAATGAGACGCTGCTCTCCAGCCTTGTGAGTGGCACACAGGCAGCTGAGAATTCTCAGGTCTGTCTGGAGACAAGGAAAAGGGAGACACTAGGAAAAGTACACTTTTGAAACCTTGAGAGGACACAGACATTCCTACTGACTTACAGCCTCTCCCGCTTCCTTTCCAAGAAACTCACCATGAAATACACACCCTTAAACACAAAGGCGGCAAGTAAGCCCAGGCGATGACACAGGGCCTTTCCACTCTGCATAAATGACGTGCCAACAGCAGTCGTTAGGTGCTCTGAAAACAGGCTTTGTATCGGTTTCCCTAGTGTACCCCATGTACTCTTCCCCCTAGAGGATGAGATGTCCGTTCACTTCAAATACTGACTCTAGCAGTTTAACTTTCGAAAGAGTTTAATTCACAGATTAACTTTAATTTGAATCACATGTTTTCATTTTTCTGTTCTTAACTAAAAGGTCTTCTTTAGGATAAAAAAAAAATTTCAAATTCTTATCAAAGTGAAGAAGAGAATAAAGAAAAATCACCATTTTTGTTCTTACGTGTAAGACTGATTCAAAGAGAGTGCTCTTGGGGGGGGCGGGAATGAAGAAACATACCCAGATTGTTAATTACAACTGAGAGTTTCCTTTATGTTATTTTAAAAAGTGACTCCAATGTAAAGATATGCTTGAGAAAGATTCCTGGTACATCATTGCTTTTCCCTATATAGTTTTTTGCCAAAGTCTTCCTACTGGAAGGATTACTTCCCAAATAAGCATCCTAAGCCAAAATTCTCAGCAGTCTTTGAAATGTAGGTAGAAGATGCTTCGACATGTAATCTAATTTGTAGTTTATGCTGTTTCTTTTTTAAAAGGGTAGAGAGTAAAAAATCATTGTTTCATTTAAACCCCAGACCCCCCAGATTGAGCAGTAGGCAGGGTAACAGGCCACAGTCTAAAGGAAAACTGTGGGGAAATTGCATCTGGGTGACAGTGTAGCACAGAAGGAAGGTAAGTAGAATGAAGCAAAGGCTTTCCTGTCAGGAGACTAAAAGAACAAATCTTAAGGAGAGAGGAAGCTTCTGGAAGAAATGGCGCCGATAAAGGGCCTCCAGCAGAATAAAGCTGGTGGAGACAGACACCCCCCTGAAGAGTCTCATGGTTAAGTTTTAACCTGTCCCTGCTCGATCTTTGCTTCAATTGTTTTATTAAAATTGCATTGTTGGAAGTTTACAGCAAGATCACCTGACTTAAATATTAACTAGAGACTTTTTTCCTATGTTTTAGATATTTACTGGCTTATTTCTTTTCTTTAAACTCATATATCAAAAACACAGGTTTGAAAGTCGGAAAGGCAATAGCTCATGCATACAGGACAGATCCATGCACTGTGTACAGGAACAGTGGCTTAATTTAGTAAGACAGGCCTCTACATAGAGGAAATGAGCTGTTTGACGTGCTGTAGTAATTCACAGGTAAAAAGTGAACTGGTTGGGTGGGGATAGAAAGAGGAAGGAAAGGAAATGAGGAGACCATCAGTCACTTGAGAAGAAAAATAAGCAGATTAAAAACCAGAGCTTAATCTGGTGTAATACCTGGGAAAGTGTCCTGCACCTTCAGGCTTCCTGCAACCCAGTGTCTTTCAGACACTGAGAAAATCAAGTTAGTGCGTGATGCAGAAACAAATGTCATCCCCGAAAAGGGCAAGTGAACAGAACTCAGACTGCACACCTAACCACAGTCGCCATCTGGTCAAGCGCCTGTTTTATGTGATCAGCCCAACACAAATCCGGCCCTCCTCCCGGTGGCGACTCTGACTTGGCACATCTCCGTGATGTTTCTGTGCTACTCACAGGCGGAGTAGTAGCTTTGGCAGAGCTCAGCCTCCTCGCTCAGAATGCCGCCAGGCCTGAGGTGCTCCGAGAGCTGTTGCAATCCCGATCTCCATTTCGTTTAGCTAAAAATGTCTTTAAAATTGGGGGGGCTTGGCAGAGAAAGTGGCAGGGGAGAGAGAGGTGTGCTTGGAGGTTGCAGAAAGGAAGAATGAACCAACTTATCCCAGCACAATATCATGATTGCCCCGGGTCCAAGTGAACTCCTTCATTTCTTTAGCCAGTAAATATATTTAAGCCTCCACTCTCTAAAGTTAGTGCATAAAGGTCTGGAGGATGTGACGGTGGACATGACAGAGCCCGGGTTCCATGGAGGGTAGGGCCCAAGGTTGGGTGGCGGGTAAGGGTGCTGGGTTGGTAGAAAAGAAAAGAAAGGCAGTTTTTGTGAATGTTACTTTCTCCCTCCTTTGGTAAAGAAGAAGACAGTGAAAGCCGAAGGTGATAAATGCCCCTGGAACATAGGAAACCTAGGTTTGGAAGGTTCTGTTATTTGTACAGAGAGGGTAAAAATTAAACACGTGAAGGTTTCTCATAGATCCTACTTTTAAATGCAGACTTTTATCACTGTTCCTACCTAACCCCAAATCTTCAAGGATTCTCCCAAATATGCTCCCTGCACTCAGACACTCAGTTTCTAAGATTATAAAGAGTTAGGAGATGATGAAGAAAAATGCCTTATGTCCTAGAACCTTGGCAAAGACCTCGCCTGTGCCGCCCCTCTGCATCTTACAACAGGCCAACGGGACATGGAGCGGGAATCACTTCCTCAGTTCCCATTCTCATCAGGCACAAGACTGACTGCACAGTGTGCAGAGTCCAGTCCGAAATGGAAACCTGGGGCCCCTTTTCAAAAATTACTGATGATTTCCAGATGGCAGCAGGAGGTCGTTAAACCAACTGCAGTGCCCTTTTCAGCACAGGGCTCCGTGCAGCTGCGTAGGCCTCGTGCCCGTGAAGCCAGCGCCAGGTAGGCCTGGCCCCTAGAGCCTGTCTCCTCAGCTGTGGCAAAGTTAATTTAATCAATTGATTTTTTCAGTGTGGAGGTCTGTCAATGTACTTTGATCACCATTTGAGAGCTACTGCTCTAGACGCTAACACTTTTTCTTCAGGTCACTTGAAAGAATCAACATCCTAAAAATTCAAGATGTTCCCAGTTTTCTGCCTGATCCCGTTTCTTTGTAGCTTCATTTTGTTCTCTCCCTGAAATTTCTTTCTTTCTTTGGTTTCAGATTCACCCAAGAACCTAACAGAAGCATTTGTTATAGTAAAAAGGAAAACCAACTCTGCGGAAAGTACATTTTGAGAATTTAAACCATCTAGCCCATTACAAGCCAAATGGACTTCTTATCGCACTTTGGCCGGTGACGGACGGTGACGCGCTGCGGCTGCGGTCAGGAGGTCCCCCGGGGGGCAGCGCCGGGCCTGGCCG